TGTATGGTTATTAGGTAGATTTATGACAGACTGGAGTTTCCCTAATGCCCCTGCCCGCCGAAGGCGGCCTGATATGTTGGAATAATGTCTTCGAAAGGTATGCTTCATTAGGATCTCCGCCCTCAACATATATATATATGAAAATGATCGGCTTTATCACCTCTACAACATACTAAAAAATTAATGATCATTGTATTTGCTGGCAGGCAGGAGCATTAAAGAAACTTTAGTCTGTCATAAATCTCCGTAACCAAAGAATGACGTCACCAATGGATATAGATACATCTCCAAACAGCCTGCCATATTATTGCCTATTTAGTATTACCTGTAATGCATTTCCGATTGTAATTTAGGAAATGTATACATTTCTTAGGAAATCAGTCTCATATAATTTAGTTTGCCCATTTCCGGGCGGTTTTAGAAATTATATACATTTCCTAGGAATTGTATACAATGACGGATTTCATACATTTTCGGTAACATCGATAGTGCGGTAGTAAGGGCTCTCTTCTTGTATTTTTCTCATAAACTAACCTCATTAACCTTGAGGATTATACATATATTGTACAAGTATAAAGACAAACGTTATCGATAATGTATACGCCCTATACAAATATCTTATCTACCTCAATGCTACTGTGATTCTCTTTTACGTTTCCTAAGTAAACTAAACACTCGGATATTTCATTTCCACGAAATTTTGGGCTTCCAGTCTGCCACAAAAGCTTTTTCAAGCATATCTGTTGAAGGCATACGATAATGTATGACACTCCACCGCTAAAGGAAGCATACGTCGAAGTTTGAAAGGTTTCTATTTTCGTTAACAGCTTTTCAGTTTCGAAATCAAAACAAACTTTCTTTCCGGTGTTTTCGCAAAGTATGTCGTATTCTTGTTAAGAATTCAAAGTGAAACTTCAACGAATTGTCCTCAACACAATCCAATATGAAATCGAACTCGGCGAATCGTATAAATGTACAACTTTGCATTATAATACGCCCTACTGGTTTAACCTCGGCATACATTTAGAAAGAATTATTCACTTTTAGACATAGTCATTGGGATTTGGATTTATCTTCAGGCAAAATAGAATAGAATAAATAAAAAACATTCGGCTAAAGGCACGTCAGACATACATTAATTTAGAGTTACACTAGCGACCCGCCCCAGCTTCGCACGGGTGTAATATGCTGATGCTAAATATATTTTTTTTAGATTATTCTCGAGGAGGAAAAATCTTCAAAAGACACCCCCTCAACATACTAAATATACTACAGAATGTCTTTATATACAACATTCACAGTTTTTTTGTCATTAGACAATACAAACCGGCCTCCCGGCCGGTACCGCCGCAACCGCTATGTCCCTGCATTTTAAATCTGTAATATCTTCGAAAATATTCATTTAAATTACATGCTGTAAAGGGCCATATTGATCTATATTAAATGCACAATGTATTTAAGGTACTTAATTGGATAAGAATTAATGCTGTGTTGCTTACAATCGCTTCGTAAATAAGTCATTATTTCTCATAAAAAGTAAAGGATAAAAAATGGTTATTGTGGGTTATCCCTAAGAGATAGACATATACCATCCCGGACTTTTTTGTAGACCTTTTTAAGATGTACAATACTGAACTACATTTTTTTGATCTATCTCGTAGGGTTGAGCCAGCGTTTGCAATGTAAGCGCAAAAAATGTGTTTATTTACGACATCACATTAGAAACCTCTAAAATTATCAGTGTTTCCTTAGTATATTATACATGTATTATACATATAAACCTTCCTCTTGAATCATTCTATCTTTAAAAAAAAAACCGCATCAAAATCCGTTGAGCAGTTTTAAAGATTTAAGCATACATAGGCACAGACAGCGGGAAAGCGACTTTGTTTTATACTATGTAGTGATATACACCTATTATGATTCAGTTCCTTATATATTCATGTACATACATGTAGAAATCGGGATCGCTTAAATGATTCCATGTTCTTGGGGAAAAAATTACATAGGACATACTAGTCATCACTTGCAATGAAGAATACAACAGCATAAGAATGCGAAAACTTAATTTATATGAAACACTTATTGTTTCACTTAACTATAACTTTGACGTGTACATATGTTTTTTATGGCCTTTAAAGTAACTGAAAGAAACTAACTATCAGGAAATGGTAAGCGTATTCCCTTCTACGTCAGAGTTTGAAAGTAACACATCTTCAAATAAAAATAAACGAAATAAACGAACCTTATGGTACAGATGATAAGTGGTTTGAGTGGATTTGCTTCAGTTACTTTAATTTTGTACTTAATTTCGAAATTTTAATGCCTGACAGTGTCGCTTTTCTTTTGTTGTGTAGCTCTCTTATTAGGGAACGAACATGCCCTTAAGAAGATTTCTATTGTTCATAAAAATAATTTGTTCTAGGTGCATTACTATTTTTACGAAATGAACAATATGTATCAATGTCAACTATGAAAATACAATTCAATAAAAACATTCACATTTCTCATCTGTATAATTTTCTGCAACATTAGTAACATGAGTCTGGCTTTTCATTCTCCGAGAGTTAATGGCGTCGCATTATTAAACATAGAGTGGTGAAAACTGTCTTCGAAATAAATACGTACATATGTTCGCTTAATGAAGCCGAAGACGAGTTTTTGCCGGTTTTTTGGGCATCGCGTTGCTCAATGCAACAAAATAACTAATTGAATGGAAAAAAGTGTGATTGCAATAAATTACGGAGAAGTGCAGATATTAACGGACCAAGTGCACATATGCCACCGGGAGAGGGAACGGATCGCCATCGCCAGTGACCGCACACTGATAGATGGCCTCGGGCAGATTTTACAGGATTTTATTTATTGCTCATTTCGCTGGGCTGCGCTGCACATACCGACACAGACACCATCCCCGAACTACTACACTCGGGCTCGTGATGAATGTTTAGCCGTGTATTAGCCTGTCACTGCACAGAGCACGGCTTTATTGGCACATTCGACCAGTGTTAGCGGATTTAAAAGTAGTTTTATTGCTTTTCATTCTCCTCGTCCGTATACGATCAATGCGACACAACACCTTTACAGGGTGTTCATATGCATTCAATAAACAATAAACCACTACCAAAGCTATTAGGTAAATTTATAGAACCCACAAGAAAAAACTAATTACGAGCAAAATCAGACGTATCGTTAGTTTCGTAATCTAATCCAATGGTTAAGGGTTAAACCAGCGGTGGGGAATTTTTTTACCATTAAAGGTAACATTTAAACTAGGCAGTATACTAAAGGAGGCCTCATAGGTTGATGAACCTGTAAAGGTGAAATTATAGCTTTTGTATGGTTTTATCCAGGGCCCGACCTAAAGGGAGGGGGCAGCCAGAAAATTTTTGGGCGCCAGGCGGTTCCCTAGACAAAAATTTTCAGTCTCTCAGAGTCTTTCAGCGTCTCTCACAGTGTTTCACAGTTTGTCAGTTATTGCCTAGGTGTTTTTATGGATCTCTCACAGTCTCTGTATGACAGACTCGAACGATAAAATTGTTAATTCAGAGATTCGAGTCTCTCATAGAGAGACTGAATGAATAAAACTGAAAAATTGAGAGACTCGAGTCTCTCGTAGAAAGACTGGGATCTCTGAAATATGTTGAACTTAGANTCGTTCAGACTAAGCTAAACAGTTTTTTTGACAGTCTTTCTCAGCGACACCAGAGACTCGATGAGAGACGGAGACTCGAGTCTCGCTTTCAGAGACTCTGAGAGACTGAACATTTGCACGGAGAAAAAGCCTTTACAGTGCTCAGTAATGCGACAAAAAAGTATTTTTTAAGTTTTTTTTTCTTAAATTACTATTATATCTAGAAGCTGTAAATTATTAGACGGGCCAATGAATTTTAGAGTGCTGTCTTATAATTTTTCCTGATGTTGTCTTCTAATAAGCTTCAATTCAATTTTCCCACCATGTGAGTACTCATGTGTTCCGATCACGTCGGGGTCACGATTGTAATAATTTAATGACTAGCGTTAATTGTAGTTCTGATTAAAAGCGGTTTTATAATAATGTTGGACACATTCTTGCATCTGTGATAAATTTTGACAGCATCCGAAGGTTGACACTATTGCAGCATCCAAATAAGAGTGAGCCTTGTGTTAGACTAATTTATTGAATTATTTACATCGTATTTATACTAAATTTATTTATATTGGTATTATGGTACTAGATATTTCAACATTGTACGTTTGTGTATATAAATGTTTATGATCTAGTTAGTCGCACCGTGTCGCGATTTACTAAGTCGGTACAAATGAACCACATTAATTGTTACACTTTTCAATTGTTTTTTGATATATCGAATGTATCCATAAAGCAACCAAGCAGGAAGAAAATAGGAAAGAAAAAACCAACTCGTTTAAGCACCCGAAATGTAAAGATTTTTCATAATTTTTGAGAATGCACAGAATGTCGTGGCAATTTTACGTTTTTGAACCGGCAACCCTTTTCGTTTCGTTTATGTATCAAGAATTCTCCACCTACATTGACGACAGTAGTAATTTCCGATAGTTTGCATGTAGGTAATTAATATTTTTTTGGGGAATAGCCTATTATCCTATAGCGCGATATTTTAGGGGATTCCCCAACTTGATTCGCTTGTCGATGTAAGCAAAAATTCAGGTATTATTTTTTCATTAGTTTAACTTTCACATTCTTGGAAACTCCTACTAATAATGTTTTGTGCTGGTACCCACCGGGCAATTGCAATTACTAACCCCCATTATCATTAAGTATGTCGTCGTTTAATTATTGACCAATTTCCGTTTCATTCAAATCAGTTTTTTTTATGAAAACGTTAAAAAGTGGAATGGAGTATTTTCACTATCTAAAAATAAATTTCGAACATCGAAAAGTTGGTCGTGTGGATCCCAACTTCCTAACCAGGTGGGCGACCCATCAGAAAGAGGGTAAAGAAAAATACGCGAATTACAAAGGATTTCATTTGTTACAGGGACTTAAAGATGGAGAACGTGATGCTAAATTCCCTTCAGACGCAGATAAAGATCGTGGACTTCGGTCTGAGCAACGTATTCAGTCCAGATAACCCCCTACGCACGCACTGTGGTTCCCCAGAGTATGCCGCACCGGAACTATTCGTTGCCGGTAAATCTTACGGACCGGAAGTGGACCTTTGGAGCTTGTAAGTCCGCACACCCAAAGTTATAACCGTCTCTTAGCTCTTTCGAAATTTATTTTTGCGGGCGTGGCCGACCTCGCCAATGTCCGTCTCATACCGGCCAAGTTTAATACGAAAAGATAAAAAGTTATTCATCCGCGTGGAAATCTTACGAAAGGAAAATCGCTTTCCAATCGTAATACGTATACATAGCATACACCCCTGTCCATTCTATAAACCTTTAAGGGCGTTCACGTCAGACTTTTTTGTTTCCAAAAACGTACCTATATTGATATCGAAGGTATGACACATGAATATGTTCACTTTGTTTAATTTTTAGTTACTTATCGCACGACAGACAATAATTTAATATATTACATGAGATTCTTACTTATGTTGTACGAATTATGACTGCTACGTTGTTTAGTATCAAACAAAAATAAAGCAATTTTAGCATTTTCAACAAACACATTTAATTGAAATTCATCAATTCATGTTAGTAAAGAACATAAGTTGTCGGTTAGTAATTTATTAGTTCTCATCAACACGCCATAGATGCCAATAGCAGTAGGTGGCAGTATATTGCTCATAGTTTAATATTAATCTCATATCGAAAAAGTAGAAGTCATCTTCGTCTTATTTATAATATCTGGCTGCAATTATTCCTAGTTATTTTATTATTTATGTATTACCTCCCACAGGAGGTACTTATTGTGCTACAATTGTTAAAAATTAACAAAATTCGAAATTGATTTTAATTTTATCGTTAATGAAGTTTCTATTTCCAACTTAAAGAAGTACTTGTGCCGCTAATGAGAAATGAATAATTAAAGGAAACAGTTTATTTTATCTATTTCAAGAAATACATAGTCGTTTTAACATAAACCCGTCAATTGAAGCAAGTAAGGTAAATTTTTAAACTCCGCCGTTTTATAGCGTTCGTTTAGATCGTTTGTTAAAGTCAATTTATTAATAATGACTGAAAGTGCTTGCTTTAAAATTTTATTACTTACGGACTAGCAACAGCCAGTTTGCACGAAACTTCGCATGCCATTCATTCTTTCAGCAATAGATTAAGGGCAAAAAAAAACTTGGCCATTATCAAAGTATCTCTCTTCTGTATATTCTCCTTTTTTATACTTTGCCTCTGCTGTGCGAAACCTTTTTAAGCTTATTTATTCGAAAAGTTTACAAAAAATAAACACATAAAATACCCTAGGATAACCTAATAATACACACCAAAAATTTTTTATAATTAAATTAAATAAGCGTTGTTTTTCTAATTTGCACAACGGAAGGCATGAAATTGTTCCAGCTGTACAATAAATTCTAGGTATTTAGGTATATTTTCCCTGATTGAAATTTTATGTAAAAAAGATTTTACAATGTACAGTGGAATTCGATTATTATGACTCCGCTTATATTGACCAATCGCTTAATATGAATTCAATGCAGTTAAGTTTGGTTTTCATATTAAATTCTCTATAAGAAAGATTGCATATAATGACTCCGTTTAAAATAACCTTATTTATTATGACTGATTCTCAAGAAATCATATCCGGCTGTAGTGACCCAAATGATTAATAATAACATTTTTGCTCATTTTTCTAACCCTTGTATTGATATTACATTTCATGTTCTTTTTCTTTTTCTGTTAATAAGTATAAAGAATTTGTAGTTTTTCGCTCTATTAAACTAAATAACTAACCAAAATAGAAAGTTATTTATTTTCTAAGACTGCTTTGCACGACGCCCGCTTAGTATGACGTGTTAGTCATTTCCCTTCGATGTCATTATAAGCGGATTCTACTGTAAATAAATGTGTGTTCGCAACTGCCCTGACGGGAAGTCCGGGTTCAGTTCCCATCCAATACAACACCTTTTCATACTTTTTTACCTGCTTTAACGATAACATAGGTACTTTCATTTCACTACATTCCCTTCCGAAAATGTAAATAATAAATTTCTACATTACGTCTGTTCACGTAATAATCTATAAGCTTGAATGACAACAAGATACATTTTGATTCATTTTACATTTGGACAACTTGATTCCGAAAACGTTTTAATAATTTTTAGAGGTGTGATTTTATACGGCATGGTAGTTGGACAGCTGCCGTTTCTAAGTAATCGCGACGAACAAGTAACTTCGCAGGACCGTAGAAAAAAGTTATTAGAACAAATCAACAAGGGCTTATCAACGCCGCAGAAAAAGGCGCTGACCTCGTTCTCGCCAGAGTTCAAAGGAATGATGGGCAAGTTATTGGTCGCCGATTCGTCTAAACGTCTAACGATTATAGAACTCACAAATCACCCGTGGGCTACCGACAAGGGACGCAAACTAATTAAACTGAATCCCGGGAAAAAGGTCGACGATAGGGTACGAAACGTAGTAAGTTTAACGAAAGACAGAAAAAAAGCAAACAAATAAGAAACGTAACGTCACTACCACCCTACATCCATTTCCACGTTTTCAGATTGTTAAACAATTGTCGTCTCTACTCAAACTTGACACCATGACAATCAAGTACAGCCTTTCGACGGAACCCCTCGGCAATATTGCTGGAATGTACAATCTCCTTTCGACTAAACATCGACAAATGTACGGCAATAATGACGGCATAATGCAGGTAACGTCTCATCACATCCCTTGTTATGTAACTCCGAGGTATGGAGCAGGCGACTCATCGCGAAGCGAATCTCCGAACAACAAGGCGTCGAATTACTTGAATAACGCGCTAGCAAAGAAACGAGAAACAGTACAGTCGGCTCAAATGCCAAAAGCTACGTTGTCGAAAACATCTACAACTACTACAAAGAGACCCGCATCTACTAATTCTCCTGAAAAGAAATCCTCATCGAATACAAGAAAACTGGTCGTTAAAAAATCACTACTGTCCGAAATAACTCCGAAAAAATCAAGTGTGGCAACCACTGCACAAAAACCAAACGCAAAAAACATCGAAGTTTTACATCCACGAAGTGCACAACAACCTAAAATACACCAAACTACACCGACTAATAATAACAACAATTATAACAACAATGCTACAGTAAAAGATAGCAAATCACGCAGAGCTTCGTCCTCTAGTAGTTCCAATCCTTGTTCTGTAAATTCGAACTCGTCCAAAACAACTTTAATTGAAACCGACCATAATAAAATTTACATAACCAGATCAAGAAGACCAATGCTTACAAATAATACGCATAACATGAACTACTCGAAATACAATAATTGTACCGCAGATCATTCGGAAAATACGCTGAATGTCACTCAGAAAAATATTGAAAGAAGTCATAATGATTATCAAGTCGTTCACAAGGCGCAAATGCATAAAGAAAATAGAAATCATTATCAAACTTTACAAGACGGAAAGTATGTAATTTCATGCTTGTAGAGCAACTTGCAGTTTTTAATTATTTTGCCTCTATTCCATATGAGTAAAAAAGTCAGACGCCTTAGCACTACTAACTGAAATTGACGTTCGAACACTGCTAAGAAATTAATCCAAAATATGTATTTATACCCTGAGATTAAAAGTATTTCGGTTAGTTTGTTTTGTTATAACAATTAAACACCGGTGGTAAATATCACAAAAAAGAACAAAGGAATAACTGAAAGTATGGATTTGAAAATTTAAAATAATTACCTACATCGTCATACTTTTAAAGATTCTGTTTATAGTTGCTCAAAAATATTTTCTTTTGGATGTTTTAGTAAGCGGAGTTTATAGTTTAATTATTATGTTAGGATTTAGGTAAAAACATACCTATAGGAAACTATACCCCCTTATTTCAAAAAACTGTATAAGTTTATAAAGAAAAGGATATTAAAAAAACTTTTTTTATTCAGTTGAATTAAAATTTTTATTTCGTTATTAAGATCTCTTTTTTGCAAAAAAATCATGACATAACTGTTTTTTAACACAATTTATGATAACTTACGTAGATATATGTATTTCCTATTTTCTTTTTCAATATTGAAATCAAAATCATTTTCTTTTTTCTTCTTCCGTGACGGTTTTAGATAGGTATTGGAATTAAATGCACTATTTAAGCTAAAATAGCATAAAAAATAGATTTCAATCTTGAGTGTGTTACGCTATTTTATAGTTTTTTTTCACACAGTGAGAATTAAGAATTTTCGAAATTGCAATAATAGTTATATTTTTAACTAAAGCTGAAACTAACATTTCGGTGTGAAAACACTCAACTGTAACGTTGATGCAAAGTGCAAATTAAAAGTTGAGTTAGTCAGTCGGCTGTGGTGCCTATTCTGTGTATTTGTTAACCGGAAAATTATTGTGACTTTATACTTTTTTTGTCACTATATCCGTTTCACCCAGGACGACCAAAAGTCACACTATTTCAACAATATATTAAGTGCGTCTTACTTATTTGCTCATTTTTACTACGTCCTTTAAACAAAATCGCAAACAATTTCCTTAAATGTATTAGTTGAATTATTTAAAATTTTCCTTATTTTAAATTTTTGCAACAGTGATTACCAGAGAATTCATAGTGCAAACGTTACGAAGGATAATAAATGTAACTTGGACCCAAATCAAAAATACTTTAGGCCCCTCACTGGACCCCCGCTTAAGTTCGTAAGTCCTCAAGATCGTACGGTTAAAAGAAGAAGGTATGTCTAAAGGTTAAAACGTTTGTCTGATATTCGAATGATATTTAGTTTGTTACCAGTTATGAAAACTCAGAGTACTCCAACGAAAGGTGTAACAACTATTACGTCTGCTCTGATAAATCAAAGAAATACCGCACTAACTATGTCCAAGGCGTCGACAGCTACTATAAAGAAACTAAATCTGGCAAGGGGAGACGTACCGGGCGGAACCATTAAAACAGCAGGTATTAACAGTGTTACTTTGTTGTAAACCAATAGCGTCTAATGGCATCAAAAATAAGTACACAGTTACAAAAATCGAGAAAAGCTAACAGATAAACACATAAAGTGTGTATAACTATATGAATATTTCGAGCTAAGCGTAGATGTAATAAGTATTCTCAAAGTCCCAGAGCAAAAAAAAAAAATGTACAGGTGCAGTAGACTGGTCGACCCGCCGCGATCTCTTCCCTGTTAAAGTCATTACAACGGCTACTTAGCATTAGAAAAGAAAGCGTTCGAAGCAAATGCGATAATGTTGTATACCTTTTTAGGTACTCTCTAAAACAAAAAGAAAATATAATAAACATATTGTGAGAGAAATAAATCTTGATACTATTCAGAAAATAAGTAAAGAAACTTTTCATCTAATTCTCTTGAATGGTCGCCACCGATTTAAAATAATTGTCCCGTAATAAATTTTTCGTTATTAACATTCTCGATTAGTAAAAATAAACATGAGCTTTCAAAGACGTATCTTCTATACATATAAATAAAACGATGTAAAAGTGCGTTGATGTACACGCATTATACAAAAACTACTGGATAGATTTTGATCAAATCTTTTAGTTTCATTCCTTGATTTTTATCTCTATACGATGTGTATGTTTTTGAAACATAAAGTTTTATTCATCCACTTCATTAAAATACATGGGTAGGTGGGACAATTTTATTTAGACTCAGAATTTTAAGAGATAAAAATAGGAACAAAATTAGCAGCTCTTATTTTTTCATTCTTCTTCGAAGCTATGAATGCCACAAATACTTATATCGCTCTATCGTTGCAGCAATATTTACTTTAGATTATTAAGTGTAAAATTTTAGGAGCATGATATTTTTGGCATATTTTCGATGGTAGATCAAGAGAAAAATCGCCAATGTTGAATGTTGAAATAACAATCTGAGGAAAACATAAAAGAATTAGAGCTTGTAAATATAAGAGTGCGTAAGAAATCTATACATTGTTATTTAAAAGTATTTTATTATTCATATAGAACTTATTTATATCCTCTTAAATATTTTGTAGCCTTTTACGTAATAAATAAATATTCGGAGAGCGCAGCGATACACTTCCTACAACAGCGCAAAAGCTACTGACTCATCTCTTGATCATTATTAACCTAATGCAATTTTGAAATCTGATTGGCTTTCGAGAATGACAGCTGTCGTCAGCCAATCAAAAGCAGATAAATAACTAGGTCAAGTAGTAGCAGGGATTTCCTCAGGAATGCGGTTTTCCGAGAAATAAAAACAAACTGGTAATCGGTAGCGCCGGGTTCATTGAACCCCACAGTGGCGCTAAATTAAATAATACTCTGAATTTTAAAATGCAAATATTTCGAAAACGGCTTAACCGATTTTGATACAGCTTGAACTGTTCTTCAAATAATTTTACACAGAAATTAATGCTGATTGCTAACAGTTAAAATAAAACATAATTAAAAATTGGCATCAGTATTTTTTGTAATAATCTGAATTTTATTCCAAATTCGCTAATATTCTTCCGACCACAGCTTTGCGCGTTATGAAATTCTTTGAAAGCTCATAAATTTTAGTTAGCTTCATCTGCTCATTAGAAAGGTTATCACAATTAATTGCGTCATTCTGCCACACATATCTTAAACTCAAAATCATTATGCGTTCTGTTTATATTTCTAGAGTTATATTTGAAAACTTATCACACGAAAGAAAAGCTAAGATTTTTTTTTGTCATCATATTTTTAGTACAGTTTAGTAATTACAATCCATTAAGAAACATGAAAAAGTTTTTAAATAAAGGATTCTAGAGTTCCCATTTATTTAAAAAATACAAAGTTCTTAAAGACAAGGTAAAAGTGACACTTACTATTTATCTACAGATTCTGGCGGTTTAAAAGATTACCATTAAATTAAAATAACTTTATTTGCACGGTTGATATTTTAGTAAAAATATCAAAATAAACCAGTATGGTTTTAATTAGTATGTTGATTATTATTACACAAAATTTATGACATCATATTTTTGGCAGCTAATTTTAAATCACCAAACGTCCTTAAAAACTTCTTGAACGAACCAATAGCAAGATCTATTGCAGGGTACGTTGTGAACAATATTCCCGAGAAATTGCAATATGTAAGTAAGGTGTTTACCCTGAAATAATTCACTAACGTTTTTCAATTTTAGCTGAAGCTGATACAGGGTCAGCCTGGTGAAAATGTTTTAAAAAAATGACCTGTGGTGCCGAACTTTTAGAATACATAACGCAATATCGTAGTCATTGAAAATAAAAACTTATGAATTAGTTAGTGATAACTTGAGAAATTTGATATTGGTCAAAACCTTGAAACTGATTGTCAGTAAATATAAATAAACACATGTAAAGCAATTTAGAGAATAACTGTTTTTTCATGTTTTACAATATTTAGATTCCCCTATACATTAAAATAGTGATACAAAATAAGTGAGGATTTTATATAAATTTTTTCATGTATTTACCAAAAGTTTTAATTTCAAAAATTTATATTTTTAATTATAGTGAAACCGTTCTAAATTTATTATATTTANTTTTTTTTTATTTTACTTCTAATGAATAAGCACGTGATAGACGCTGGAGAAGCTGGTAGTTTCGGTTGTCTAAAGAGTGTCTTGCGTGTTCAAATTTTATGTGTAACTGAAAGTTTGCTTCTTACCTATTGAAGTTTTCGCTGAATTAAAATTACCACAGTGAATGCTCAGCTCACATAAGGACACTTCAAAAATTATTTATGAACCTAAAAGCGGTTTAATGATTTTCAAAAAGAACAGCAAGCTTCAACGCTATTACGACTTTGTTTTTTGCTGTTTTACTGCTCTTTTTTCTAATATTCATGATATTACTTAAATTAATTTACTGAATTCTATTCACTCCTTGTCAGTAAAGTAAAGGGGAGGAGTTTCTACTTCTGCCTCATCATAAAGTAATCGGCAGCTGCGCATATTTGCATTTACATTCTTGCTCTGTATCAAAGTTACTCTTTTTTAAATATTTTTTGACTGTTTCTTCAATACTAGGGACTTAAAAATTAAAAAAAAAAATAGTATTGCAAAATAACAATAATTTGTTTGTAGAATGTTAATTGTCTTTACTAATAACACAATAATGATAAATTTTCTAATTATTTTTTTTATGTATAAATAGCAATCATTCAATAAAAACCAAAGATGGGCTCTTTAAAAAAATAAAAGATTATTTTTTTTTAAGACAATTGTCCTTTAGGATTTTATTAGCCATATTTTAACATACAGATTCAGATACCTAAAACTAATAATTTTAATTATAAAATGTGCCTAACATAAACAAGAAGGCAATTTATTAATTTATTGTTTTACTTAAACGCTGCAACCTACAATCATTCATACCAAAGAAGGAAATTAACTAACAATAAATAAGAAGTCTTAATTAATGCCACGGAACCTCGCGAGATGATGAAATGGTACCAAGTTTGTAATATCTCGCTGTCTGTGAAACTGGAGCCCCTGTAGACGATGCCATAGATTTTTGATTTTCATTTGATAAATTTGAACCATCACCTTTTAGCACAGCAATTGGCTTCCAAGTATTGATGTAGTTCACTGAAAACAAGAAGTGAAAGAAAAAATCCCCAACGTTAATATTACATAAAAAGTTAAATGGATCTTTCTGAAAAAAAAAAACTGAACACTCACTTTTGAACATTCTGACACAACCATCATCACCACTTGATGCCAAAATAGTTCCAGTAATATTCCAGCAAACTCTCCAAACAGTACTGGCATGATCTTCAAATTGAGCTGCAGTTTGAACACTCAGTTTTGTTAAGCCGCTTTGGATACTGGCTTGATCACTAAAAATATAATATTGAAAATTAAAAATTAATAATATTACAAAAAAAATGTTTGCTTACTGAATCGGTGTCAAACTTATAATTCGAACATCTTTGGTTGCAACTGCCAATAAGTGAAAACTTCTACCCAAATTTGGTGAAAATGATATGTCATGAACTGCATCAGTTATTGTGTTTATTGTTTCAATTTTTGTCCATCTTCTGATATTTTCACTGTATTCAAATATGAAAACCTTCCCACCATTAGCAGGATTGCTATCATCACTTCCTACTGCAAGCATTTGAGGAAGGGACCTGCAAAAACAACAAATTATCAATTTTTTAATGCCAGAACAATGACTTTTACATTTTGCTTACTTTGATAGGCTCGGATTCCAACTTAAACAACTACAGGAAAGTTTACATTGAACTTCATGCTGTAAAGTCCATTGGCTAAGATTCATGACATCTGGAGCTTCATAAATTCGAATTATACCATCTATTGAACATGTTGCTAACTGCAATCCTTGAGTTTTGGGGCCAAACTTGACATCAGTTACTGAAGTTCTTGAGTCCACTAAGTTAGTTCTTCTTACCCAATGTCTGCTGCCTCTTTCTCCTGGACCAGGAGTTTCTCCAACTATGATAAGCAAAGCAAACAAAGCTGTATATATTGTATGCTTTGATTACTTATTTTGCGTGACAAACTAAATGAAATAATTACCTATTTCTTCCCAAACAGCTGCAGTGCGATCAAATGAACAGGTTGCTAGAACTTGTCCAAATTCAGGATGAGCCCATGTCACCTTCCATACAGATCCACTGTGAGCTTTCCAACTTGAAGTGAGAATCCATCGTCCTTCATGATTTTGGTCCCATACCTTAAAAAACCTTATTAATAATATTTACTTAAAAAAGTGTGTTGTTTAAGAAATGAAAATATTGGACTTTCTTACTTTAACGTACTGGTCACTTGAGCATGTTGCCATTCGCTGCCCATAAAAATCATAAGCAACATCGTGTATTAAATCTTTGTGTTCTGCATTTATTTCTTCTGCTTCAAACATGATTACAGGGACGTAAGAAATAATATATTAAAACAAACTGTTGACAATAACAACTTCTAACCTCACCGGCCAAAATTTTGAAGGTTATGAATGAAGTAAATAAATTGTCTATAGTGAATAAAGTACCATTGTTTGTAGGCCAAATTACTTATCATATTCAAGTTGCAACTGCAAGTTAATTGATTCGTATTATAATAATGGTAGCTAAGTGTACGAATTTTTGTTGTGTATCAATTCATACTTTTATTCTTAAAATTTAGAATACGTAAGTATAATAATAATTAATTATACATAAATAATCCGGCTGATTCCCTAATCACTAGTAAAATAGTAAATTATAACTTACTTTGTTTTTCTAGATGTCGCTTCTTGTAGATAAAAAAATTTTTGTAGAAAATAGAAATTAGTAGAAATTGAGTCAGGTGATTTAACGGCCCATAAATGCGTTATGTTTTCGAATATAATAAGTTCAATTCTAAATTCCTCTTTAACTGAATCGCTTGAAATATATTGGAGTAATATAACAGCACTATTTTTTGGAACAACTACAATCCTCCGTGAGAGTCCTGTAGGTTTATTGACATACGAGACATTTCCGTTATCAGTCGAATTTGATGAGTTCCAGTGGAAACTTGTGAAAACGTTTACAGCGTTTTTACTTTTAAACTTATTATTAATATTTTTTTCCTGGAAAATATACGGTAAACGTATTTGTGTACGTTTTATGAAGCCACGTAGGTATAACATAACCGTATTGCTTTTTTAGTTTACTTACTGCATTTAAAGTTAATCATATAATTTCTGTTTGCATTTTTCAGCTACTTCTAAAGCTATTGAAGATTTAAGATCAAGTGTTTCTAAATTAAAATTGCCTAAAGAACATTCACCTAGAATTTAAGAGATGGCTGACAAAATTAAGAAGTTTTTTGCCAAGAAAAAAGTTGATGCAAAGTTTAAGCTAGCAGGGCCGGGCCATAGACTAGATTCGTCATCGTCATCATCGGTTAATATACCCAGTAAGGTCAAAAGTAAATATTTTTAATGTTATTGGTTAAAATAAATACCAGATTTTTAAGGTGATTATAAGACTCCATCTAAACAAGAACCTTCAGAAGCTCGCAGACAAGCTGCTGAAGCAGCATTGTTAAGAGTACAAAGTCAGCAAAGAAAACAGAATCCTGCATTTAATACGTCTTTGGCAGCAATTCAGGCACAAGTTAAAAAGGAATTAGATGCTGAAAATAAACAGAAACAGCCATCAGTTGCAAGCAAACCAACTGAAAGTGAACCTATTGCATCATCTCATCTAGCAGTTAAAGGTAAAATACTACTCTTATTATTTTCAATAATATAAATTGTTTCATTTAAATAGTATAAAAGATTTAAAAAAAATAGTGATAGAACATGCCTGTTAATTGAATTAAATTAACAAAGTAAATAAACTGTTGCAGGTGTTTACTTTCGCTGCCCAATAATAAATGATGAAATTTTAACAAAAGAAGAGTGGAGAGGAAAAATAAAGGAGTTTTTGTTCAACCAGTTGGAAGAAGAAAGAGGTTTAACAGCATGTTTGATAATAAATTCATGCAATTACAACAAAACAAAGGTATGACATTTTTTTGTTACAACTGCAATAAATAAAGAAACTACTTTGTATTAATAATTCTAACAGCATGCAATAGAATTTGTGATTGAAACAATCCTACATTAAAACTCCCTCTAATTATTCTCCGTTATACTCACCTACTCCAATTGAGACTTACATTAGTATTATATCTTCTAAACAAACTCTACTAGAAAACTCTGAACTATTGTTTGCAAGATAAACTAGTTACTCTTGATCCTAATTAATGTCATTCTAAAGTATTTTAATACTTTTTTTACTTAATGTAGGTAAAAGAAGGAATAGAAATACTATCTAAATACTTAGACAATATTATAAATAATCCAGAAGAAGTAAAATACCATAAAATTCGATGCTCCAACAATACTTTCAAAGAAAAAGTCACTCCCCTGTTAGGTGCAACTGAACTGTTACATGCAGCAGGTTTTCAAATTAAGGAATTGGAGCATAATGGAAATAAAGAAGACTTCTGGGTATTTGAGAAAGAAAATGTAGAAGGAATAGAAACTTTGGAGGTAAATGTAAATGCAGTTTAACTTCAGTTCTAAAATATATTCATCTAGTACTAAGTTAAAATTTTGTAAAAAATGTATGTACTTTAAATGTAATCTTATTTCATTTTTGTAAAATCTAATTATTTGATTTTGCATTTTTTTTTTAGTTCCTCAAAGATGCACTGAATTCAGAAGATAGAATAGAACTTGAGTTGGACAGAAATTTGCAAGTTCTTTCACCAGCTCAAGCAGCAAGAAGGGTTGAACTCCCACCTGATTTTTATGCACTAACAGCAGATGAATTAAAACGAGAAATGCAGCTGAGGTAGTAATTGATATTCAAAAAACTCATTATGTAATAAATTTCTTCATGTTACAGAACAGAAGCTATGGAAAAGCAGATGCAACTTCGAACAAAAGCTATGCGAGAAAAAGATGAATCTAAGGAAATTAGAAAATATAAGTTCACACTAATTAGAGTGCGATTTCCAGATGGTTTATATCTACAGGTAATAATTTTCTCTGTAATTTTATGTATTTGTTTGATACCAGATTTGATTAAAATTGTCATTATTAGTACAATACTCTTTTTTGAATTTGCTTTCAAGATATTAAGTGTATGTTGTATTTAAACAAACTACGTCATTAAAATATTTCACTTTTAAAAAGAGTCCAGTCTCATTTCTTTGTCTGATCTTTTTGTAAGAAAATATTCATTTTCATTTTACATTAGATAGTTGTCATTGCCAGCATAAAAAATATTGATTTATTGTTCATTACTCATTCTGTATCTACCAGCATTTACTTCTTAAAAATTCCAGGGTACATTTTCTGTTTATGAAAAATTCGAGGAGGCAGTCAATTTTGTAAAGGAAAATTTAGAGAACTCAGATGCTCCTTTCATATTAACATCTCCAACAGGCCAGAAGTTCGAAGAATCAGACTATAGCAGTACCTTTTTCCAACTGAAATTAGTTCCTGCAGTTATCCTAACATTTCAATGGGATCCTCTTATTGCTAATCAAATGGCAAAGATTAGTAACACGTTCCTCAAACCGGAAATAATGATGCTTATGCAGTCAATGTAAACATTTATGCTTTCTGTAAGTGAAAAAAGGTAAGACTATTTTGATTTTAAATTACAAATATTTGCACATTTTTTGATTTATAAGTAATAAGAATAGTTCAGTTTAAATTAGCATGTATACTAGATTGAAACAGAAAATATACAGTGCGTTTTAATTTTTTTTTTATAAGTACCATCTTTTCCCGGAATTGTAAATGGAGAGGTATTTAATGGTTATTGGTTGCCTTTGGATGTTTAAATGTAAAGAAATAATTGCTGAAAAAATAATTGTAAATGGTAAGAATTATGATGTTGAAGAATATAAGAATTAGAATTTATTGTGCAGTTATTCAAATTTATACACTTACAAAGCAATTAAGGGACAGTAGACTAAAAAAAACATTATAATCGTATATAAACTGTCTGAACATTTTTTACTTGACGTATACATCCTAAACACCTACCTATTTACACTTAATTCTTCTGTGATCACTGTAGTCTACACAATCTGAATTTATATTACCTTAATAATTTATTTATGTAAAATATGAGTATGTAATTTGTTCAATTAAAATATATCTGTTAAGGTGTTGCATTTTTTTATACTTTTTGCATTGAGCTTTTCTGGTAGATATCTTTCGTATGAAGTATGAATAAAATACTTTTCAGAAGCATATTTATTGAATATTATTGAGTGTTTCATTCTAATGTTTTTCAAATATAAATAGTAAAGAAAAGTCAATAATGTTATTACAAATATTACTTTATTCAGAGTTCTCTGATACATTCTTTCTAAAATGACAAAATGTTAGCTATCTCATATATACAAATTGTACACGAATTTTATTTAAAAAACTATAAATTTAACTTTTTTCAGGATTCAAATGAAACCACGTATCTACCTTTTCAAGAACATGTAAGTTAATTATTTCATTTTCAATTCTTAATTAAATTACTTCAAACTGATCATCAATATTCTTTTATTCAGTTTTAAAATTTTAGTAAATGTAGTGATGCTTTTTTGGTAAAAAAAAAAAATTGTTGGTTCCATACCTGACATAAAATGATGACAAACCAGTAGTCACTTTCTGCAGGGCACTAGAAGTTTCTTTAATTCAATTACAACATTTACTTGTTTTTTCTAATTTTTCGCCATTACAAGCTTATAAGGCATTATGAAAAAGACAACAATCGCAAGAAAAGCACATTGAATTTTGACAATATTATCTACCTTTAACTTCATTGATTTCCTCTCACTCCACTATTTTTTACACCTTATTATTTAAACAACTTAAGCAGCTTAACTGAAAATAAACCTTGTCTACACAACACAAAAAACAAACACAAGTCTTTTAAAAATCGAATCTATTTGTTTCACAAATCCACTTTTATCACACCAAGTTTTTTTTATCATATTTAAAGATCCAATCTGTTTGTCTAAGTCTATTACAATAGTTTTGCGATACAAGACCTTAGAACACTGTTAATTTTTCAACTCCTACACTTAATGTTTTTTTAACAATATTAACACAATGTTATAGTCACTACATTACACTTCAATTAATCAATACGTAAAAAGGTACTCTTTACAGTCCTTTCACATTTTTACTGTTGTCAGATAAGAACTCAAAATTCCCACAAAAATATTAAAAGTATCACAAAACTAAAGAAAATAAAAAAGAAAAGCAAAACAAAATTTATGAGAAAGAACTGTAGCACTAAACTATCCACTTCACTATCTGAAACATGTTTGTTATAATGTAAGTATAAAAAATTTACTGCTCAATTAAACATCTCCATCAGATCAGTATGAGCACACTAACAAACTGTTAATCCATTTTAGATAACTGACACAATGCATCTTTAGTTATCAAAAACTTCACAAATCTAACGTTGCTCACCAATTTCCTGAAATAACTCAAATTATATTAGATAATTCTATCCTATCTTTTATCATACACATTTCTCTCTACTCTTAAAATACTACTGTTGTTTAGTCACTGTATAACATCAACACCTAAATCGTTCAAGAACTGTGCAATTAAAATAAATAAAATTTCACAAAAATGATACGTAAAAAATAAATGATAAAATAAAAATGCAAATTGCTATTAAGCAGTAATTAGAAAGGGAAAAAGGTTTAGGCAGTGCCACCACGTACCACAACAATTACAAGATGATCTTCTTTTATGGCTTCATCAGACAGGTTGGGACAGGATCGTTTTAGGAGTTCAGTAGAGAAGGGACAAGGAGGGAAAGAATACAGAACCCCTGTCGCTTCTGTTTCTTTGTTTAACAATGATATAACACCAGCTGCTTCTTTTTGTTTTAAATAGGAAACTAAATTGCGCAACGGCCTTGTTTGCACATTGGTATCTTCATTTGTAACAGAAGCAGTTGAACCAGCAAGGCCCAAAAATATAGCGTGAGAGCTCGCACTAGATATACGTTTTTGTACATCTTCAAGTTTTGGCTGATCTAGACGCAATCTTTGCGTGATTCGCAACTGATGTTTACCATCTTCGTCTTTCATTAATCCTTCAACAATATCAGTGTCACCATCCAACAAATGAAATTTAGCCGGAAACAGAGAATTTTTGAGAATAAGTGCACCCTGCCATATCGTCGAACATTTTCTGGCTACTTCTGGTAAAGTTCTACTAGAAGCAAGCAGACCTGCCCTTCTGGAACCACTATCTGAATCTGAATCGATAGATCTACGTGGAGATCTGGAACGCGATCTGTCTATGCCTCGTGAATTTGAACGATGCCTATCATAATCCGGTTCTAGAGGTCTGCGTGCAATTTCATCTTCAGGATATCCATCGGGATATCTGTAAGGACCTCTGCTTCCTCCTCGACGTTCAGAATAAACAGGACGTCCCCGGTATCTATAACTACTTTCATCGAGAGGGTCGTAGCCATAATCAGCTCTTCTATAATCTAATTCATCAGGCCCATATGGGCCTCCTTTTGGACGATGATATGGCAATGGCGGATTCACATCTGCAAAATCAGTTCGCAGACGGCGTTCAGGACCTCCCAATGGAAATCCTCGCATTTCTTTTACAGCTGCAGTGGCTGCATCAATACTATCATATAAAATATAGGCATGATTGTCACCTTTTACATAATCAGTTTTCTTTATTGCACCAAATCTATCAAATTCTCTTTCCAATTGTGGGACTGAAGTCCATGGACCTAAGCCACCAACCCAAATACGTGTCGTTGGTGTGACTTTTCCATAGCCTATCTTGCATTGGAATTTACCGATATACTGACCTGACAACTCTACTTTAGCTCGGTGAGCCATATCTAATGTTTGGAAGCGAACAAATGCAAATGCATTACCTGTACCTGGTGGAGGACGCTTAATATCTATATCCTCTACAATACCGTATCTTCCAAAGATTCTTCTTAATTCTTCTTCTGTTATATTGATTTCCAAGTTCCCAGCGAAAAGTGTTCTTGTTGCCAGAGGATCATCTTCAGGAGCAATATGGTGTAAATAATTTGGAAATTTGTCTTTCTTGTTTTCTGTCTTTTCAAAAGGAGGACGAGGACGAGGTGGGCCATATGCATGACCTGGAGGCATATGTGGGGGACCATGATGTACAGGAGGGCGTGCCAGATAATCATGGTGTGCTGCTGGTATAGCTTCACGTCTATATGGTTCTCGGTGAAGTGGTACACCTGGAGGAGGACCATAAGCTCGATCGTACCTATCAATTGGACGTAAACGTTCCGGTCCTGGTGATCTTGCATAATAATGGCGATCATACTCCGGACTAATAGAACGCGGTCTTCCTCGGTACAAATCGTTAGAAGCTCTTGGTACTTCATAGACAGCATCGACAACTGCTACCTTATCATAAATAATTATACGTGGTTTACCGTGTTTGGCATCCCTAGCATCTTCTGGACTACGGAAACAAACGTATGCTACTCGTTCATCTAAATCATGAGCTATTCTTATACTAAGATCTCCATACTTCTTATATTCACGATAAAGAGTATCTTTAATAACTTCGTCGCTGGCCTTCGGGTGCAATGCACTCACGCACAGTACTTTATACGGATACGCCCTTTCTGGAGGACGTAGATATTCGTCACGATGGGGAGAAATATACCGTGCCCGCGGACTTGGGGATCGACTTCTACGACGTCTAATGCGATCAGGAGTAATTCTTTCATCAGAACTGTCATCATAACGACCCATACTTGAACGAGACCTTTTACTACGCGGAGGGGTGTCTCTATCACTACTTCTCTTCATATTATGTATCCTTATTGTTATTTTGTCCCTCCCAGAGCCTATCATACGCGGTCTGCACTGCTATACGACTACACAATGGATGACACGAACTCCTGTGACACCTATCCTGAAAACACATCACAATAACACCCATGCTAAACTCTAATTAGCACCAAACAATATTTTATGAAAAATAAAACAAGAAAACATACTTTTAAAAAACTACACAACACTGTGTACTCAATCCGTTAAAACCAAAATTATTAATAAAAACGCCCCTCACTCTCAACAAACGACAACCAACAATCAATATGTCGCCTTTTTCCGTTTGACGACGTTTGATGTCCTCCAATGTCCTCTGGCGGAAAAGGAAACAGTGACATTACGCAGCTCATTTGACTCAAGTAGTAGTTAAGTGGCAGTCCATTATATTACATTTTGATATAAACCAAAAGTAATATAATTTTATGCTCAGATCGTATTAATCTAATTAATTCATTTAATATACTTCGGCTTTTTCAATAAGTTGTGATGAGTGTACCTACTCGTGCTTAAGAAAAGATGAAAAAACTGAACGTGTATGCTTTGTACGAATGAACATATGAACGCAACTACTTTAACGTTTAATTGTATTTTAATAAAATTTTAACCCGACATAACCTACATCGTTTTCAACCCTACGTAATGTATTTTTCTTATTCTTTTAGTGGTCTTTAAAGCTTGTGTGACTAAATGATTTATTATTGATGTGATTGTTTGTTGGTTCTTGTAGAAATGTCAGCATTAAAACGCGTTCAGGTAATTACAATGAATTAAACACATAAAACTCATTTCATACTGAAACATTTTAGCAATGGGCTACTTTTGCAAGAATTTGGCATATATATGATGCAACATGGCAAAACCCTTTTGAATCCGCAGCTCTTCTAAAAAAGTATCTTATGGGCTTACATAAACCAATTTATCATCCACTTGGTAGATTAAAAAAAGAATGTTAAAATTGGAGTTTTTAAAGTTACATGTTTTTAGCTGATTGTGGAGATCATGTAGTGGTAATTAATTGCTCTGAAATTGCTTTACCTGGAGATGAATGGAAAAAGAGGGTTTATTTCCATCATACAGGTTATCCAGGTGGAGCATCATGGACCCTAGCATGGGAACTTCATAAAAAGAACCCAACATTGGTAAAACTTTGTTATAGAAATTCATTGATTAAATTATTTAATTGGTGTTATTAAAGATACTGAAAAAGGCAATTTACCATAATATGCGTGGAAATCTACAAAGAAGATATACAATGGAGAGGTTGCATTTATTTCCCAATGAAAGTGTTCCTGATGAAGTTATGAAAAATATCTCCAATCAAATAAGACAAATTAGACCTGTTCCTAAAAGACTGGATCATTATACAGAAGATGAAGTTAAAGAATTTCCAAAACTTATAGACTACCCCAAAGATTATATCATCAGATAAATTGTAAGTAGTTTAAAATCATATAAAAATAAATAAGCAATTTTACTTTTTTTTTGTTTTTGGTATTGTTTACTGTTGCGTGACAGATGAAGCACCTGTCCTTTTTTCTATCGCCCAACTAATAAAACATTGGAAATTTTATTAAGGGTTTTCAATGAAACATTTCTAATTTTTTTGTGAACTCTAATTTAACATTGGATGTTTTAACTTTTTTACAATTGATTATCTAATAAATATATAATCTATTTGTAGACACTTAAACATTCAGAAAACTTTCCCTTCTTTTAACATTAATTTCTTTTTTGTTTATTAATTAATAGGCAAACCTATTCTTCCTTATTCCTCTTTTTTCCAGTTATTTCGTTTTCCTTTTTGACATTAATTTGCTCTATTTTTATTTAAGGAAATATAATTGTAAACCTTTTGAGGGCATAGGCACAACAAAGCAAGCCGAGTGTTTAATAAGAAAGAAAGATTTGCATTTTTAAACATTGTTGAGCCATGCTACTACAAATTGATAGTAAAACTTGCAATAGAAATACATTTATTAAAATTGTATAATTATTATATATATACAACAACAAATTTTATTGAAGATGCAAATCTTTTCGTAAACCATTAACAGCAACAGTCATGTAAAACTCTTGATGCTTTACAAAATTGTCTATAGCGCGCTGTCTTGATGCTTCCCAAGCATACAACTCTCGATAGACGGGTCTCACGTATTTCATTCTTCCATATTCGTTGACGAAATTTAAAGCATCTTCAATTTTTTCCTCCCAATGTGCCTTTAAGCAAATTCTTAGCCATCTACATTTAATTTCCGTGTTTCTTTTATCAGCGAATTTTAATATTTTTTCAGTAGCTTTTAATTTCTCGATGCTTTGTGGAGTACTGTCCATAATTTCTTGTAAAATATGGATCATTTGCAATGTGCTATACTTGTTAAACTCAGTTTCAGTAAAGGGAGCATCTTCAGTCTTTCCATTCCAACCCAAAAACTTTTTTACGAAATCATTGCAAGCTTCAACTAATGTCATATCATATTCAGGAATGATGGGTGGCATTCCAGGACTGTGTAACCACGTTTGCCAGTCTACTTTTAAAATTTCGGGATTAGAAGAAAAATACGTCATAAAATGGTTCTTGAATATGTCAGTATCGATCGACTTGTATTTGTAGGTGTTAAAATAATCCCTAAGAAACGGTTCAAATTTTTCTAAAAACAAAACAAAATTTTAAACAAGCTCAGTACAGAAAATATAAAATGTTATTTCACCTGGCCCCCCAACAACAAACTCCAAATAACGTAAAAATGTTTGACCTTTCTCATATGGTACTTTAGAATAAGCATCGTCCGGATCTTTTCCTTTTAAATCAATTATTAAAGATGTGTAAGGGCTATTTGCTCCCAAATGATTTACCTAAGGAGTTTTCTATGAAACATATTGAGGTAAAAAGAAATTGTGTTATACTTCTTCCTTTAATTCAGCAGTTCCACTTTGAGCATCAAAGTCCTGCTCCTGTTTCCCTAACAGACGTCCTATAATTTTTCTTTCGATAAAAACTGTAAAACCTTCATTCAGCCAAAAATGTTCGAAATTACGATTTGTTACCAAATTTCCAGACCAACTGTGAGTAATTTCATGAGAAAGAACACTCACCAAGGATTTATCACCAGCCTGTTAATTAAAAATATTTTCGTGAATCTTATTTAAACATGTTATTTAGTTAACGTAAAAAACGTACTATTACTGTCGGTGTTACAAAAGTTAAACATGGATTTTCCATACCACCATAAGGAAAACTTGGTGGTAAAACAAGTAAATCGTAAATGCTCCAAACATATGGACCGCATATGTCCTCGGCAGTTTTTAGATTTGCTTCTGTATCTTCGAATTCGTAGGCCGCAGCGTCCAAAATATCTTCTTCAGCCCACACATGACTTCTTGGCCCAATTTGTTTCGATTTTAACGCTCCAATTGCAATTGCTATTAAATATGCAGGGACAGGGACATTTTGTACAAAGTTGAATTGTATTTTATTATTTGACAATGATGTCGCTCCATTTCGCAGTGCAGACATTAACACAGTTAAGTCTGAAGGAGCTACTACCTATAATTACAATTGAAAATATTTTATCCTTAGAAAAAAAGTGGTGAAGATTTTATAAAAATCTGCAGCTAACTTTTGGTTATTTTTAAAAGTTTGTTAAGAAATTAATAAACAATATGAAACCGTTTTTACATGTAAAAAATTGAATTTTCAAAAGAATCGTCTTAAAAACTAGGCACATAATCAATCTTCGAGAGTAATACATGTTTTCAAAATTACAACTTATGAGCCTACTTTTATATTTTGCAGTTTTGAATACTCTTATCACAAGCATACTGATAATCTACCCAGATTAAAACAAATCAATATTGAAATAACTTACTTCTGCGGTATACCTTGTTTTCACCCCAGGTGTATCTTGACATGGCAGAAAAGAACGAGCATGAATCGACTGAAAGAAAAAATATGTATAGAAATACTTTGTAAAATGAATTTCTTTTAATATGAATTTACTTGAAACTGGCTGAAAACAAAGGGATGCTTTTTTCCAAGAGTTTGTTCAGGCTTAAGCCATTGTAAACCACTAGCATTGGGACTTGTAGAATAATTAATTAGCAAAGTATAACTAAAACGAAAAATATAAAATGTTTGCAATTATAAAAATATTTCTTTTACCTGGTTTTATTGTTTTCTGGCAATTCTACAGTCATCTTGGAGCCAAAATCAGCAAAAGGGTCAGATATTTCATATTTTAATTTTTGATTTTCAAAATAATCAGTAACGTCAACAATGTTTAAGTCTTTAACATCCAAAATCTGCAATTATTTGTATTATAACTATGAGCTATTATTATTATTCAAAGATTTACAATTTCTTTTGCTTTCGGGTTAACCTTTGTAATGTCTAGTTTTACACTTCCATTGAAAGCTCTTTTATTAAAATCAACGTTTAGAGATAATACAATATTAGTAACAAGGGCTTCATCTAAAAAACACGGTAAACAGTACTTTATGGACAATTTGTAGTAATAATTTCATTACCTGGTCTTGAGTATGATGAAGGATCTAGGGGACTGAATTCACAATGTGGCATATTAAAACTGTGTTTAAGTAATGTGTTTTTACTAATCTACAAAAAATAATTTTTTTAAGTGATATTTGCTATAAAGAATCTTTTGTTTCTATTTTTTTCTATTCTAGGGTAAAATACATACGTGTCAACATGAACATTGAACACCTTTTTAAATTAGAGGTTAAGATAGGGATAAATCAGTCTGATTAATTAATCTATGTTTGATAAACTGATAGAGATAAGTGAAAATTGCTGCTTTTTGCATGTAAAATAGTCGATTGGTATTTTATTAATACAGCAAGTGTTGCTTTATCTTTTATTAGTGTGCGCTGCTAATCACATCTTTATCAACAAAATNTTTATCAAAATATTTATATTTAAAATGGCAAACAATTTAACTTTTAAATTTAACGATTTAGCGTTCGTAGTATGTTATTTCATATTTCTAAATGACACGTTGCATTAAAATTTATGAAAAGGCAGAAAATAAAAACTTACAACGGTCACGTATGAATTTGATAAGGGTTTAAAATTCATGACTAGCCAAGGTGCCGTCAATCACCAAATATTTTAGCTTTTGTTATTACTTTCTGTTATTCATTAAGGAACGGATTTAAGCTAAGTTTGCAACTATAATATTATGTATTTGTTCAAAAAGAAATCTGGACCTTATAAAAACAGTAAGAAAGTAATTTTTCTTATTCATAATTTAATGTCTACGTTCGTGTCGACTACATTTCCAATAAATCTTTTGTTTACTTGTAGGTACTTAAGAAAAACAAAAATACATGTTAGTATTGCACAAGTCAATAAGAAGTTATTATTTTTTTAGCTTTAATGTTAAATTTCTTTTGTCATTAAACGTTAAATCTTTTGTTACTATTGCAATTACGTTTAATTTATTTTATTGTAACTAAAATAATAATTCGTTGTTACAATACTATTAATCTATATTAATGTATATTTAAACCAAGTTATCTACAGCAAAGATATTGAATATATTGTAAAAATGATTTAATCCGCGTTATATTGAGAAATCTGTATCTTGAGAATCACTTCTAAAATAGTGGTTGAAAAGTAGATACCTAAGTAAGTCAAAAAAAGTTTTAATTAAATTGAACTAGTCTTGTCACTTGTCTACTTTTACATTCACATTGTCACTTTAAAATATTACTGTTTTAAAAGTAGTAATTAATTATTTTTTCTTGCCTGTTTCTGTAGATTGCCCAACAAATGAGAACGAATTGCAGCATCTTCACTTTGCAACATTATGCAGTTAATTTTGGACCTGCAAGAGATAAGGCATCTGCAGATTTGGAAACCACTGAAACAATTTGTCTGAAGTCCTGGATTTGGTTTGTTTTTCACACTTGCAAACTTTGCAACGTTACATTCTACAGTTATATTAGGTGAGAATACTTGATATTATTAATTTTGTCTTATCCTATTTATACATTTATTTTATTTTAATATGAGAGTCAAATGATTCGAAAAAAGAAGTATTAAATATGTAAATAATATCTAAATTTTCAATATAACAACTGACTATTTTACTGATTAATGAATAGTACATTATGTATCTATTATTTTATCCGCCACTTGTCCACCTCTATCTTCACATTGTCACTTTAAATTATTACTGATTTACTTGTTTTAAAAGTAGTAATTAATTATTTTTCCTTGCCTGTTTCTGTAGATTGCCCAACAAATTAGAAACAGCATCTTCAGTTTGCAACATTATGCACTTAATTTTGGACCTGCAAGAGGCAGGCATCTGCAGATTTGGAAACCACTGAAACAAATTGTCTG